AAGAGAGACCACGAGGAATTAGTGCATGGTGACAAAGCAAGCAAACTATGTCCTTGTTAGTTAATACAGTCTAACGTTCATGTGGGAACTAGGAATATCTTGTCTACAGAGTGAGGCTATTCTCTCCCCTGCTCTGAAACAAGAAAAGGGGGCACTGCTGCCTTGTGCCCCTCCTCCACATAGAAGACAGTACAGCCCTTTGAATGGCTAAGGGTCAGTGAGGCACAGCTCAGGCATGCCAAAGGTGGTGGTGTTCCTGGATTGCTGTTTGGAGATCTGGTCGGTTAACAAGCAAAACAGATGGGGCCCTCCTCCCTACAGAAGTTTACCTTCAAATGAGAAGAGACAGGCAGTATAGTCATAAATAACCAAAAATAATCATTTCATTGGTGAGGCAGTTATAAAATGGTAAAAAAAAAAAATTAGCCAGACACTGGCAGCTCATACCTGTAATCTCAGCTACTCAAGAAGCCAACATTTGGAAGATCACAGTTTGAAACCAGCCCAGACAAGAAAAGTCTGACGTACTCCATCTCCAAAATAATGTGCAGAAAGACAGGGTGGAGATGTGGATCAGGTGGCACCAGGCCATTAGTTCAAACACTTGAGTAACTGACAACAACAACCTGAAAAGAGTGAAGGCAGAATATGTATGTATTTATACATACAGGAAAAGCTGCTTGTGAGTTCATCTCAAGCAGCTGGGATGCTAGGGCTGATTGTAGACTGTCAGTGTTGTAGCAATTGTGAGAGAGGAAGTGTTATTTTTATCAGAGCTCGTCTTAATTAGTTATTTGTTTAAACAAGTCCCTTGTGCATATTGAAAGAATACACTTCAGCTTCCATCTGTCTGACTTCTTATTTCTGGTTGGGTTGATATATATGTTCTGGCAGAGGAAATAGCCCTTTTATAAGGGAAGAAATTAAACAGTAACTTGTTTGGAAACAAATATATTTACCATACCTAAACATCATTCGTGAAATGGTTTTTAATGCACTGCTTATTTAATACATATACTTTTTTTTTTGCCGGTTCTGGAGCTTGAACTCCAGGACCTGGGCTCTGTCCTTGAGCCTTTCTGTGCTAAAAGTTAGCACTCTACCACTTCAGCCCCAGAACCACTTCCAGCTTTTTCTGAGTAGTTTATTAGAGATAAGAGTCTCATAGACTTTGCTACCCAGACTGGCTTCAAACCATGAATCTCAGATCTCAGCCTCCTGAATAGCTAGGATTACAGATGTGAGCCACGGGTGCCCAGCTAATACATGTACTTAAAAAAAAATACACGTACTTTTAAAAACACTCTTCACTTTGCAGTCTTGAATCACATGAAAAACTTACCTTAATCCCATTTCATCATTAGAGGAAAGAAAGTGGTTTGGAAGTTGAGTAAATGGGAATAGAATGGTGGCTTGAATTTTAGTAAAATGAGTGGGAATAAGGCAATAGTAGATTTGACAGGAATTCTAAAAATCCATTGAAGATGACCATGGGAATTTAGTCCACTGTGTCCATTGTGTGGCTTGTCTGTAACTGCCTGTAGAGGACTTTGTTACACAGCCGTGCAGCAGAACTTGGACAGGACATGTAAAGGATTCCTGAAAGAACAAGAAAAGTAAAAGCACAGGAAGACTTGGAGTTCTATGGTTGTAAGGTCATGTAACTCATCTCAGTCACAGAGCAGGAATACCCCCCAAATTTTTTTCTCTTTATTTGGATTTCTAAGATAGGAAGGTTTGTTTTGGCCCCTGGTGAGTACTTCCTAAAGGTTTCCTTTTATTGAGATGGTTCTAATTCCTCTTTGACTTCTGTGTTTCTCTAAATCATATTCTTATTGGTCTCACTCACTCACCGTTCAGGACAGCCTGATTCACAGGGTTTTTAACTTCCTCTTGAGAAGTAAATTGAAAAAAGTTTGAAAAGTTTCAGTGGTTTTCCTATGGCTTTTTCCTAACCAAGTCTGAAAATTCTAGATTTCTAATTCACAATATTTTGCTGCCTTGTCTTACCAGCCCCTAACAAAACATGTGTAGATAACCACAGAGAAATTCCTAATTCTTGGGGTTTTCCATCACTGCAATCACCATCATACAAGTCTAACTACAGTGATGACTATGAAAGGTTACTGTGGGTGGCCAGCTCATGGCTTTGGAGGAACAGCCCTCATAATCAGCATAAACCACAGGTTTCATAATTCCTTTGTTGTTTTGTAATACACCTACAGATCAAGGTAGCAATAACAATATTTTGTTGGTTGGATGAGTTTTGGGTTTCAGGAGTCTTGATGAAAAACATAATTTAAGACTAAAAGTTACAAACTGTAATTGCTCTCTTTTCATGTTTCCTTTTAAATTTTGACTCGCTTTAATGAACATATTGCCTATTACCAATTTTTTTCCTTGTGAAAAGTCTTCTATCCCACCCTGATCTTTTGCCCAGTTTCCAGCTCTGTAGATCAGCAGATTACTCTGTGTTCTTTAGAAATAATTTAAGCATAGACCTTTTTCCCTCATCTTTTTATATAAATCCTTGTACACCATTCATTGTATACCCTGCTTTTATCACATAGAAACTTACCTAGTAGATAGTTCCAAAGTCAGACATGAAAAGCTTTCTCATTTTTATGACTGCTGTTTAAAGTTCTGTAGTTTTTTTTTAGCCAACCCCTAACTTCTTTGCTGACCCTGAGCCTGACCCCAACTCCTAACCCCTAACCCTTACACTATATCCCTAACCCATATTGATAGGCACTTCACTTTCCATCAAAAGGAGCAGCTATGTAGAGCAGTCCCTCATGTGCACATATATTTCATTTCTTCTACAAATCTCTAGGACTGCAACAGTGAACACACACCTGGCTCTCAGCAGGCTTGCCTGCAACCTGGGAGGCCTGCAAACACATGAGGAAGCAAGCATGCAAGTGGCTGGGGAGATTAGCCAGGTGCTTTCTAGAAAAGAACCTCACCCACCATCCACACATGCTCCTAATAGCCATGGCTCAGGATGCTTACTGGGACTGGTACCGCAGAATGAAATTGAGCACTGAGAGCAGTCTGATTCTAGCTGTCCAGCTGTCCCTCTCAGCACAGTGTATGTCTTCTCTCTCAAACTCTAAGCCAGTGTTTTTCAGCTTTTATCATCATCATTATTTATTATCATTGTTGTTATTATTATTATTGCTACTACTGCTGCTGCTACTATTACTCTTTCCTACAGCTACCTCCATCCAAGAGGCTTTGTGGACGGTCCTCCCCTTTGTTCTCCCTGCACAAAATTTTCATAGATATCCCAAATCACTTTATATCCTGTGGCCTTAGAGGGCCACACATTTATAAAACCTAAGGTTTTGTTTGTTTGTTTTTTGGGTTTTTTTTACCCTGCTTTCCCCAAACCAATATCCTATCCCATAACAGAACAGACAGCCTATATCACTCTGGCTTGCTACCCAGGTTATCTCTGTGGATGGTGGCAAAGTCACAGGGACACAGTTATCTTGGCAGGATTCTCTTGTCTTTGAACAGAGAAAGAAGTGGTTGGTAGTGACCCAGTCCTCTGGTGGTATGCATTAAGAAGCCTTCTTTGTGGGTAAAATTAGTTAGGGTTGTGGACATGTGGTTGGGAAGACGAAGGAGAATGACTTAAGAGCTGCAGGAATTCTAAGATGAGAACCACAGGAAAGCACTTCTTATTTATTATTCTATGGCATTTAAAAAAATAAACATTTATTTTGCACTTTGTAGATATCAACCAGCACTGTCCATGAACTCATTCCACCTTCCCAAGAGCCACTAGTAATAGAAAATAACACCCTCACTCTACAGATGTGGTTAAAAGGTCCGCACAAAGCCCATGGGTCAGTGCTAGAGATGTTTTCACACCGCACTCTCCTCCATCTCTCACATATATCATAGCACGATATGCGATTGTTGGCTATGTGCCCTCTAAAAATAGGAGGTGTTTCTCATCTCTGCCTGTGTAACTGCTAGCATAATGTGGGGCTAGTAGGTGTTTAGTAAGTGATGGATGGACAGGTAGACAGACTGACAGGTGAGTGTACTTAAATGTGACTGAAATCACTTCTACAATGAGTTGCCCCACAAAGGCTTTCCATCCTTCATAAACTGACTTTACCAGGATTTTGGAGGTCTTACTGAAGAATGACCATGTTTTAAACTGTTTACAGATCATGTATTGCTTATTGTTTTCACACTTGGCCATCCATGGCTCTCCTTGTTTCCTCTGATGCTATTCTTTCCACCCAAGCAGCATCTCCATCTTCCTTTTGTAGATTCCTCTAAAGACATAGTAGTAGCCCCAGGCCATTGCCTCAGATCAGTGAAAAACTGAAGATTGCAGTTTGAAGGATCTTGTTTTAGCCAGGCATAGTGGCTTGAGCCTGGGACCCTGATTCTTAAGAGACCAAGGCAGGAGAATTTTGAGTTTAAGGCCAGATTGAACTACATAGTGAGACTTATCTAAATATATATACATATATGCATATACATGTATATATAGTTGTAATGGAACCTGACACTGAGGTTGTACTGGGAGACAAGCAGCCAAGGTCACTGAGTATCCATTCCAGTGCAAGAGTCAGCACAAGCAGGCAATTTCAGCCATTAATACTGGAGATAGTACAAACCAGTTGTATTTTTCTCTCCTTCCTCTGACTGAGGCAGCTGAAGAAGATTCCCATAAAAAGCTACAGTTTTGGTACAAGTGGCAATGAGATGCTGAGATAACTGGGGGAATCAGTGTCCTGGTAGACTATTCACGGTACCTCAGGCTCTGGGTGCCACGTGGTACCTCCACCTCTGTCCCCACATCTTCTGCTGCAGAGTGGAGATAGTTGTGCTGCCTAATGCAGGGGGTATCACACAGGTTCACTGGGGTGACTCAAGCGGATCTTCTTGAATATAGCCTGTGTGGGAAATGCTCAGACAGAAGGGGCTGGTGGCATTTTTTTTTTTTTAAATAACTGTCTCCTGTCTTTCTGCAGCTGCAGGGTCTGAGCCACAATGTGATCTTCACCCTGGATTCCTTGTTAAAAGGAGACCTCAAGGGAGTCAAAGGGGTAAGTGTTGAGAAATTTTTATATCCACTCCTATCTTGAAAGGATTGACTATCTTTTCCTCTTTTTAAGATCACAGTAGTATATTTATTTGAAAGACACTGAACATTTTTAACTGAAAAAGATGTTCTTGAAGAAAATGATCATTGAAAAAAATGATACCACTTTACATCATGGTATCAAGAAACAAGATTGGACAATTTCAGGAAGATTGGAGAGATTTTTGGGTGGGAACATGAGGAGGAGAGAAAGAGAGGTTATTAGGCCTGTGACTTGAGTAACCACCATGGACTGGGCTCTCCAAACCTCTGGATCCTGTTTCATTGGCAGAACTGGGAGCACCTACCTTTCCTGCCTCTCTCAGATTTCACATGTGTAATATTTTATAATGTGCACCAAAGCATCTTAGGTAAAGTTTGAAATATCCTATAAAGGAAGGTCATTTTTGCTAAGACGTTATTTCAGAATTATTTGATTTAGCAAAAGTAAATTCAGTTTCATTTTCTCCTTTTTAAGGATCTAAAGAAGCCATTTGACAAAGCCTGGAAAGATTATGAGACAAAGTTGTAAGTGGCTTTTTATTTTGTAGGTTTTGTTGTTGTTGTTGTCACAAATTTCATTTTAAAAAATGTAACTTGGGGCCGGGTGTCAGTGGCTCATGCCTGTAATCCTAGCTACTAAAGAAGCTGAGATCTGAGGATCGCAGTTCAAAGCCAGCCTGTGCAGGAAACTCCGTGAGACTTACTTCCAATAAAAACCACTCCAAAAACCGGAAGTGGCGCTGTGGCTCAAGTGGTGGATTACTCACCTTGAGCTGAATTGCTCAAGGCCAGAGTTCAAGCCGCATGACTGACCAAAAAAAAAAAAAGTAACTTGGGAGTGAGATTTGATTGGAACATATTATAAGCATGTATGGAAATGTAGCAATGAATTCCCCTTCAGCTAAGAAAAGAAAGAGGACAAAGAAAATGTAACTTAAAAAAGCTTAGAGCCCTTAACTAATGTCTTCCTAACAAAAAGCCATTTAGTATGTCCTTATAAGAACAGAAAAGTTGGATTCACTGACCTAGATAAAAGTGGTTATTGCCTGGCTAGCAGTGGCTCACATTGTAATCCTATAGCTACTCTGATGGTGAGATCTGAGGATAACGGTTTGGAGCCAGCTCTGACAGGAAAGTCCAGGAGACTCTTATCTCCAATTAACCACCAAAAAGCTGGAAATAGAGCTATGGCTCAAGTAATAGAGTGCTAGCCTTGAGCAAAAAAGCTCAGGGATACTCTAGTCCCTGAGTTCAAGCCCCCAGGACCTGCACACATACATACCCATACATGAAGTGGTTATGTAAGTTTCCTGTGCTAGTTGTCTGGCATGACAGACACTTTTATTATTGATTATTTTGGCATTTTTGGTTGCTAGTATTAACTATAAAACTATAGCTCAGGACTACTAGAGCTCTTTTTTCATCATAGCTAGCATGCAACTGTCGATCATTTGCATTTCTGTATAGTGTAACAATTGAGAAATAATAAAAGTGATAGCAAACGTTCGCACCATTCTTCTGTCAAGACCTGCACTTCAATGTCTTTTGCATGTATGAACCCCTCACAGCAGCCTATGAATATACAGCTTTCATCTCTATTATACATCAGGAAACTGAAGCCTAGAGAGGCTAAGGAGTTTTGGAAATTCCTAAAGCTAGTAGCCATCAAACACATTCATATTTCAGAGAAGGCCTCCCAAAGGATTCTTAGAGGCTTATGTACGTCAGCAGGAATTGTCAAGAAAATATGTCTTCTTTTGGGTTTTAAGTTTTAAGTTACCAACACAACTTTCTCATTAGATGTATTCTAAATGTCAGTCTGAGACCTCAGGGTTCTTAAGTGCCCTTGTTCCCCTCCTAGATGATGGCGTTCTGGAAGCTCATAAGCAAGCACACTCTCTTCATCTTTAATCTTCCAAGTATTCATTGAAATTTCTCACCCTTTTTGTTATCGATTCGTCTTGCATTTGAGAGGCTTATGCCTTGACTATGATGTTAATGGAAGCTGTAGAGGCAAAACAGATAAGATTGGTGTTACCATGCCCATGGTGAGCCAGGAGACTGGCAGGGCATCATTGTTAAGTTACTCCTACCCCTGAAGTTCTTTTCAAACTTTCCAGTTCTCTTTCCAGCCAGGTCAGTCAGAGATACCTGAGATTTATTCTTGTTCTACTAAAATCCCTGCCATCACACCTATTTGACTACCAGGCAAGATCAAAGGGCTTGATTATAGCACTGGTAAATTAGAATGAATCCCAACCAGGTTTGCAGTAGATTTTCCACTGGTTGATGAGTTAGTTGTTTTTATATAGGCGAAGTTATTGGCTTTTTCTCTATTGCTTGACTCCCCATACTGTTACCACTGCAGCTTAAAGACTTGAAGGCTGTTGGGTGCCAGTGGCTTATGCCTGTAATCCTGGCTACTCAGGAGACTGAGATCTGAAGATAACAGTTTGAAGCCAACCCAGGCAAAAAAGTCTGTGAGATTCTTATCTCAAGTTAACCTCCAAAAAGCCAGAAGTAGAGTTGTGGCTCTAGTAGTAGAGTACTACTAACCTTAGCAGAAAAGCTCTGGGACAGTGCTATGACTGGCGGGGGGCGGGGGGGGGGGGGAGAGAAGGAAGGAGAGGGAGAGGGAGGGAGGAAGAGAGGGAGGAGAAAAGAGGAAGGAAGAGAAAGGAAAGAAAGAAGAAAGACAAAGGAAGGAAGGAAGGGAAGAAAGCAAAGAAGGAAGGAGACTTGAAGGCTAAAGCTAAGTCAGTCCTGCAGTTATAATCAGAAAGTAGAGTGTTTTTGAAGTCCATTTTCAAATTAAATGGAATTTTGGATAGAGGGCTGATCATAGATATAGGTACCAGAATACAATCTACCATAGCCACATTCTACCGTAGGTACTGTCAGTTTAATGTGAGCATGCCTTCTTTTTCTCTGGTTCCCCCATGACCCCCACACCCCACAGGAAAACATTTTCATAGGATTCCATATTAGATATTGGGTTTTCTCCAAGTCTTAATTTTGTATACTCCTTGGATAAGTGGCTATGCTGATTAAAATATGGTGGTTGTTGGCATGTGAAAATAACCCGTTTAGAAGCTATTAGAAATTACCTTTAATTTTCATGCATACCCATAAAGACCTATTATAGACTTTGTCTTGAAATAATTCTTAAGTTTTACCATCTACCAATAATCAGAAAAGCCTCATATCTCCAATTTTATGCTTCTTTTTCGTCATGAAGTACTTTACCCAAGAAATGTCTTCATGCCAACCAGAATGAGAATATTTATGGATCTGTCATGTGTAAGAGCAAAGTTAAAATATACATGAAAATCTACAGTGTGTTTGCTAGATTTGCTACTAATAATTGATTCTGTCAACTTAAGAATTCTTGCCTCTTGGGCTGGGAAGGTGGCTCAGTGGTAGAGCGCTTGCCTTGCATGCATGAGGCCCTGGGTTTGATTCCTCAGCATCACATAAGCAAAAAGAAAAAAGCCGGAAGTGGCGCTGTGGCTCAAATGGTAGAGCGCTAGCCTTGAGTTGAAGAGCTGAGGGACACTGCCCAGGCCCAGAGTTCAGGCCCCACAACCGGACCCCCCAAAAAAAAAAAAAAGAATTCTTGCCTCTTAACTCTAGTAATTAAGAAAGATAATGATTTGTTTTCGAAGATTTTTTTTCATTACTAGAATTGAACTTAGGACTTTGTGCATAATAGGTGAGTACTTTACTCCTTTTTTTCTTTTTATTCTTTTTTTTTGTCAGTTGTGGGACTTGAACTCAGGGTCTGGACACTGTTTCTGAGTTTTTGCTCAAGGCTAGTGTTACTCCACTTTGAACCACACAACCACTTATTTTTTTTCAGAGAGCCACTTTCATAGCACTTTCTGAACTATGTTTCCTAGTCAGAAGATGTTCTTCTTGAGTAGATGATACAGAATGTTGTCTTACATTCTCCACCCCATATATCATATAACCCAGAGTATGCTTTAGGTTCACTCTTGGTGTTGGACAAGAGCAGGTGATTTTTATTCAAAAATAATAATAACTACAACATAAAAGATATCTGCTTATTACAGTACAAAAATTGAGAAGGAGAAAAGAGAGCATGCAAAGCAGCATGGGATGATCCGCACCGAGATAACAGGAGCCGAGATTGCAGAAGAAATGGAGAAGGAAAGACGCCTCTTTCAGCTTCAGATGTGTGAAGTAAGATGGAACTGTTCATCATGAGTCTTTCCCTGCTGGTCAGCAGGCGCTATGCTAGAAGTCAGGCTTTGTTTATTAGAGGGGGGACTGTTTCCTAAGGATTCTAATCTCCATTTTTCTCCAAGCTCTTTGGAATCCACCATTGCACTGTTGTCTCATATTTTGAGCCTTGGTCCTAAGGGGCTCTTTAAGCCAAAGCAGGATTCTTTGGTGAGAACCTTAATGTTGCTTGAGAGTGATTGAGTTGTGGGGAAAATTTTCAGGAGTGGTAACTGATGACTATTACAAGTTTAGAGCATGTGTTTTTTTAATCATGGGTTTAGTTGGAATGAGAACTTAAAGTAATCCATAAGGAAGTCTAAGATTGTGAAACAATGCATGCTGCTATAAACCTACAGCCGTGGTTCTCAAACTGAGTTCCCACAGAACACTAGCACTCCTCCCCTAGAGAGGGACCTATCTTCACTGGTTCTAGTCTGCTTTTGAATAATGAAGGTGCTGTTGCAGTTTTCAGGAAATACGAAAATGGGGATTTTGCTTCATTTTAAATTTTTTGATCCTAACTTTTTTTTCCTCATCAACCTTTGGCTCCTTCAACTTGTTTGCTCCTAATCTTTTACATATAATAAAACAAGTGTGTAAGAAACAAACATGTCCTTAGAAAATCTTGACAATTGATAAAAACCATCTCCAATGCTATTTAATTAGCTATCTATGTTATTTTTATTCTCACTTTGGGGTTGCAAAAATTCTTTCTGATTTACATCCTTGGTTTAAAATTTTCAGCTGCTTGTGGTACAGTTTCTTAAGAGAATGTTGTTCTTGTTTTCTGCAAAGAGCAGTTATCTTTTACATGAACTATAAGTTTGAGATCCACTTCACCATGGGGAAAAAAACAGCTGTTCTTTTACTGTTTCATTTCTGCTTGTGTAGTGAGCTGATTGTAAGAACTTATCAAGTGCTAACACTCTCACCCATTTGCTGTGTACCCCGTGACTGCCACATCAGCTTCTCTAAGTTAAGCTCACCTTGTCTAATAACCACTGAGGCTCGCTGACTTGCACAGGTTTCGGAATATGTTCTGCCATCTGAACTCTGACTCAAGAGCCCTGTCTGGAATTCCTAACCTAAAATTCTGCTTTATTTTCACAGTATCTCATTAAAGTTAATGAAATCAAGACCAAAAAGGGTGTGGACCTGCTGCAGAATCTTATAAAGTATTATCACGCACAGTGCAAGTAAGTAGATTATTGCAGTCATTAATATTAGACTCCTTCACTTTCACTGGTTTTCTTTCTCTCTGCATATTTTTTTCTTCTTTTGACTATGACATTACACAGATAAATGGATAAGGAAATGCTGTCTTCTGTCTGCAATGTTTATGTATAAATTAGTAGCTCAAAATAGGACAACTGTATGATTACTCAGAAAAAGTATCTTCCTTCTAAATGATCACCTTGACAGCTTTGAAAATCATGCGCAGAGATGAATGAGCCACTAAAGAGACCTGTCCCTCATCCTTCCATCCTCTACTTGACTGACTTTCCTTCCTTTCTCTCCCCTCCCCCTCCCTCTTTCTTTCCTCCTTTTCCTTTTTTTTTTTTTTTTTTGTTGTTGTTGTTGGCTGTGGGGCTTGAACTCTGGGCCTGGGCACTGTCCCTGAGCTCTTCAGCTCAAAGCAAGCACTCTACCACTTGAGCCACAGCGCCACTTCTGGTTTTCTAGTGGTTCATTGGAGATAAGAGTCTCATGGAGTTTCCTGCCCAGGCTGGCTTTAAACTGCAGTCCTCAGATCTCAGCCTCCTGAGTAGCTAGGATTACAGGCATGAGCCACCAGCACCTGGCCCTTCTTCCTTTTTTTTTTAATTTTAAACTTTAAGTGTACTAGGGATTAATTAAACACAACTCTTTGGCTTTGTGTTTTGTTTCTGAGATAGTCTCCCTAGCTTTGCCTGAGTTGGTCTTGAACTCTGCTTCAGCTAATCTTATTTTACCTGAATTTAGAAATCTCTTTCTCTCAAATTTTCTGAGGGCATAGGAACTTTTCAATCTGAGGGACTGATTACAAAACCATGAAATTTCCAAAATGCAAGGCGCTTTATAAACTACACATATAACAACTTTTGCTAGTAAAAGTAGACGTATGGTACTAACTTCCACAGCTAAGACCTCCTCCCTTTATTCTTTTATTCTTTGCTACAGTACTTGTTAACCTTCTTTCTATCAAAGGCCAGGTCCTAGGTCCTAAGGTAACATCAAGCAAGTCTTCTCCTGTCTGGAATTAATTGTCTGGTACAGGATATACATCAGACTCATCAGTAATCATAAAGGGATAGACAATGGTTGGTACCATGGGTACCAAGAGAAGGAGAGATTCCTGGCAGCAAATCTGAGGAAGAAGAGGAGAAGGAGGAGGGACTTTGACTATTGTAATCTGGTGGAAGAGTCTCTACCTACTCCATAGAGATCTGAAGAAGGAAACCCAACACAGTACAAACTTCTTGAGATTGTTATTCATCTAGGGGCAGAACTGGTTATAATGGAACTCACTATATGATATCTTGTGGTTAGATCGAGGAACTCTTATCACAGCAAGATGCTAGGGATATTGTGTTTGACATATTTTGTTTCTTACTGTAGTCTCTGCAAACCCTCAGTAGACATTCTGTGGACTCGTAAAGTATTCTATTCTTAGATTTGTGTTTAAAGGATTTCTTTTTCTGGGTACTTAATCCAGTTCACAAATGATTTTCACTACATAGTCAGCTGATACTCAGCAGTGAATTTGTGGTGGTAATATCCTGCAGATTTGTATGCTCAGGGTAGGTGCTGCTACTCAGTAAAAAAACAGAAGGGCAGGAAAGTGTTCTTGGCTTTTTTTTTAATCTGTGTTCCAGCTTATCCACACTAATTACTCCTTACTCTCATTCCTGAATATTGTCAGCAATGAGCTACTTCCAAAACAAAGATGCTATCTTCCCCTTAACCCTTAAAATCTAAATTATCTGTGTGATCTGCAATGAAGAGCATTGACAAATTGACTTTATTACCCTTCATTTCACAGATCATAGTGAAAACAACAGGTACAGTGAGTTTTTTTGTTTTTTTTTTTTGGGGGGGGGGCGTCTGGTCATGGGGCCTGAACTCTGGGCCTGGGCGCTGTCCCTCAGCTCTTCAGCTCAAGGCCAGCATTCTACCACTTGAGCCACAGTGCCACTTCCAGCTTTTTTCTTTTTGCTTATGTGGTGCTGAGGAATTGAACCCAGGGCCTCAGGCATGCAAGGCAAGCACTCTACCACTGAGCCACCTTCCCAGCCCGTGAGTTTGTTTTATAGGCCAGGGAACCCAGGCCCTGCCAAAGTTCCTTTTTTGTGTTTTCTCATTTATATTCACAACAATCAGAAAATTGTCACTCCAAAAGGATCACTAACTTCCCCAAAGTCACATTTGCCCATTTAGTAATTACTCAATAAATAATGTGTCAACCAGATAAAAACAGGAAACCAAGGGAGCACCCCTCCCCCATTGGGCTTCAAAATTTAAAACTTTTGTTTATGAAAAAATGCTGTCAAAGTGATAGGGTAATCCATAAAATTGGATAAACATTTACAAATTGTATATTTGACGAGTCCAACATATAGAACATATACGAACTCAACAGTTTTAAAAATGGACATAACTCAGTTTTTAAAATGGACGTAGTTTGAGTTCCGGGGTGGTCCGGTCGTGGGGCCTGAACTCTGGGCCTGGACGCTGTCCCTCAGCTCTTCAGCTCAAGGCTAGCGCTCCACCACTTGAGCCACAGCACCACTTCCGGCTTTTTTCTTTTTGCTTATGTGGTGCTGAGGAATTGAACCCAGGGCCTCAGGCATGCAAGGCAAGCGCTCTACCACTGAGCCAACTTCCCAGCCCCCATTTCTTTAAAAGAGATAAAAAAGTCAAGAAACTAATGAAAAGGTATTTCACCATTAATTCCTTAGGAAAAGGTAGATCACAATCACAATGAGATATTGGGTCACATCCACTAGGCTGGGTGTAATCAATGTTCGACAAGAAATGTACTCATTACCTTATGTATGGAACTAACTGTAACTGTACATCACCTTGGCAATATTAAATTAAATTTTTAAAAAAGAAAATAGCAAACCTAAATAGAAAGTAAGTTGAGGAGAATATGAAGAAATTGGAACCTTTGCATTCAGTAATAATAGGAATATAAAATGATGCAAGCTCTGCTCTCCAAAAGAGTTTGGCAGCTCCTTAAATGGTTAAACATAAGAGTTCTTATGGCCTATCAGTTCTCCCAAATTTGTGTCCAAGAAAACTGAAAAGAGTTGTTCAATCAGAATTTATACATAGTTACTTCCTGATCCGTTATTTGCAATTGCCCAAACAAGGAAACATCCACCAACTGATACAGTGAAATATTACTCAGCTATGTAAGAAATGAAGTGCTGGTCTACGTACTACAACATAAGGGAATGTTTGAAACATGCCAAGTGAATGAAATGAGATATAGAAGACCATATTTATGGTTCATAAATGTGTAGAAAGGGCAAATTCACACAGTCAGAAAGCAGACTTACGGTGGTTAGGGCAGAGATAAAGGGAATAAATAGTGGTTAGTGCAAACATGTATAAGGTTTCATTTGTGGGATGATAGACATGTTCTGCAGTGATGGTGGTGATTGTACAATAGATACACTGAAAGCTACACTTTAAAACTGAATTTTAGGCTGCATGAACTTTATTTCAATAGAAAAAAATTGCAAAACCAACAGAAAGGGCCTTCCTGCAATTTACAACTAAAAATGATGGAGCCGTGTATACAAGGGAAATTGTTTTTGTCCTGATCCTGGGGCTTGAATTCAGGGCCTAGGCCTTGTCCTTTGGCTTTTTCACTGAAGGTGGGCATTCTACCACTTGAACAACAGCTCTAGTTTTGACCTTTTTTTTTTTAGTGGTAAATTATAGATAAAAGTCTTAGAGACTTTCCTGCCCTGGGTGGCCAAATCAGAGTTCTCAGATTTCAGCTTCCTGAGTAGCTAGAATTATAAGTGTGAGCCATTGGCACCCAGTCAGAAGTCTTTAACTTTTGAGCTTGCATGCCAAGGACTTTTTGGTTTAATAAGCCTGAGATTGGATCTGGACATCTACATTTCTAAAAATCTCCAACTATAGATCCATATGCCACTCTTTATCACTTTGACTTGAATTGTTACAGTGTATTTACAGTTAAGCATTAGTGTGCATTCAAGTTGGTTGAACCTCTGCAGTATATATACTGAGGAGATATCTAGGAGAAATTTTAAAAGACACTTACTCAGAATGCAGGAAATGGTATTCCTGACTCAGCCTGAAGCTGGAAAAAATAGGCTTTCAGGAATTATCCACTGCAAAAAAAAGTTTTGTGGCATAGGAGTTGTTTACTTGGATGGTTGGTTTGGGATTTTTTTTTTTTATGAGTGGGAGGTTTGAACTCAGGGCTTTGTATCTGCTATGGAAGAGTTCCATCACTTATGCCACGCTCCCAGTCATTTTGCTTTTAGTTTGTTTTTCAGATAAGATTTCAAATTTTTTCCGGGAAAGCCTCTGCCTACCTTTCTATGAAAGTACAGACTGCAGAGCTCCTCACTCAGCTTGTTGATGAATGATGTCTCCCTAACTTCTGTAGGTACTAACCTCAGGCCAGAGGATCCTCCCAGTATATACTTCCTCATTAACAATTTGGAAAATCATCTCTGTGATCCTGCAACATGTTCAAACTTCTTTTTGGAAATAGCATTCATCTCTCTGAACTTTTCATCCTGTCTCCAAACAGTATCAAGTCAGGCACAAAATAGTTAAGAAAGAGACATCAGGAGAACACTCATCTTGCTTTGTTTTCCTTCCCTGTCAGTGTTGGAACCCAGTGACTTGAGAAGGAAATGAAAGGGTACAGTGGTGAAAGCCCAGCTTTATTCTGAGTGGATGTAGGTAGATTCTCCTGAGCTTGCACTTGGTTGCAGTAGGTGTTTTCCAGGCTAAATGTGAGGTCCCTCTACTCTTCAGTTGTGCAACTTATATTTTCCTGCTACCCTACTGTCATAATGTGCCTTCCAAGCTGTTTATTTAGGACCTGAAGGTCAAAGAGTCCTTGAGACCTATTTTATTGGTCTGGAACCATCATGTATTAAACTTCCTCTCTGAGCCTGGCATGTTAAGTACATTATCTCCAGTGCTCACTAGAACTTATCCAAGTACATGTGACTGTCTGCACTCCTGTGTAAACTAATGGTAATTACCTATTGTGTTGAGGTGCAGTAATATGTTTTTTTAATTTTTACTGGCTTGCTCTTAAGGACACAAATGAACAGCCAATTGAAGAGGCCCATAGGTCTTGAAGGTCGGATTCCTATTCTCATGAAATTGGGATAAACTAGGATGTGCTTTTGACTCTTAAGCCCCTGTATTTCCTCTGAATAATAGCCAATAGAGAAGGAAAGAAGGGACTTGAACTGCTGCCTGCCATGAGATTTTGTGGCAAGTGGTGGCTCTATGCCACCTGGGCACAGCTGGAACTGTGACCCTCTTAGGGAAAGAAAATCAAACATAGAGAACAAATTTCCAGAGGGACTCAGTAGCCTGTAATAATGCTGACGTTTGCTTTTGGTGGCATTAATAATTCATTACTAATGACCATCATGGTCACTTTGTTTTCTCTGCAGCTCATCTTTTATTCCTGCTCCTGCTTCTTACACAGAGCTGGGAAGTTTTTAAGGGAAAATGTAATAGATAAGACTAGAAAAGTATGCAGGGCTAGAACACATAAAAGCTCTTTAATTCTATACAGAGAATTTATTTTACTTTGTTTTTATTATCTTTAAGTAGTTGTTCAAATATGTTTCCATTCAGCATGTCAGTTTATAAATGCAATGCATCTCCATCAATTAGCCTCCTCCATCATCATCCTCCCCCATCTCTCCCAATCCCACCCATCCCCTTAAGTGACCTGGTTCCATTTTCACATACGTACATTGAATATTATGACTTCTATACAGATTAATTTAACTTGCATACCTGAAGGCAGTGATAAACACCTAAATGTTTAAAAATGAGAATTTAATTGTGTTTTCCAATTAAACAACCAAAAAGTTCTATGTTCCCACTCCTATTGATGGATGACTGCCTAAACTAGTGTTTCCTCTAATTTTCGAAAAGGTTTTCCACCGAAGACATTAACCTTAAAAAATATGTGCCAGATGCTGGTGGTTCACACCTGCCATCCTAGCTACTCAGGAGGCTGAGGTTGGAGGATTGTGGTTCGAAGTCTTCCTGGGCAGGAAAGGCCATGTGAGGCTCTTTAATTAAGTACCAGAAAAGTCAGAAGTAGAGTTATGGCTCAAGTTATTGTGCTAGCACTATTAAGCACAAAACCTCCAGGACAAGCCAGGCACTGGTGGCTCACGCCTATAATCCTAGCTTTTCAGGAGGCTGAGATCTGAGGATCACAGTTCAAAGCCATCGTGGGCAGGAAAGTTCACGAGACTCTTTATCTCCAGTGAACCACCAGAAAACTGGAGGTTACGTTGTAGCTCAAGTGATAGAGCACTTACCTTGAGCTGAAGAACTGAGGGATGGCACCCAGGTCCAGAGTTCAAGCCCCATGACTAACAACAATAACAAAAAAGCTTAGGGGCTGGGGAGGTGGCTCAGTGGTAGAGCGCTTGCCTTGCATGCCTGAGGCCCTGGGTTTGATTCCTCAGCACCACATAAGCAAAAAGAAAAAAAGCCGGAAGTGGCGCTGTGGCTCAAGTGGTAGAGAGCTAGCCTTGAGCTGAAGAGCTGAGGGACAGCGCCCAGGCCCAGAGTTCAGACCCCACAACCGGACCAAAAAAAAAAAAAAAGCTTAGGGACAGTGCCCAGGCTCTTGAGTTCAAGCCCTAGGAGCAGCATACACACACACCAAAAAAAAAAAGTGCTTGTAGAAATTCAGTGATCACCCCAAAGGCCAAATCTGATGGGATGCGTGGCTGATAGTAAATGTGTATATTAAGCTAAAAGAAATATGGACCCTAAAAAATTTTATACAATTTTACTTGTAGCCATTTACCCATGTGATGTGAAAATGAAATGGTCCTTGTTAGCTGTGGGGAGATAATGAGATAGGTACGTGCTACAAGGACATGGTTAGAGAAGCGTCCAGAAGGGCAGTGGGAACACCAGTGTCCTGCTTATTTTGTTTTTCTCTGTGCTGATTCACAGATGGGGCTCCTGAACAGAGGGTTCAGTCCTAGACAGGGATTCTCTTTGCTTGGTGGTTGTGATACGGTTTCAGAATCAGGCAGACCTGAGCTTGAATCCCATCTCGGTGGGGACCGAGCAAGTTAATGTACCTTCTGAAAAACCAACATGACACTGAAATGCTTAACTCATGAGAGTCAAGCAAATAACTTGTGAAAAGTATATAGTTCAGTGCTGGGCATATGATAAATGTTCTACAAAGGTTAACTTTTGTTATTATTTAGGGGAAACAAATATGAGGACACAGCTTTCCCAGTCCATTGGTACAATGTTTTTGAAACCCTATGTTTTGAGTATGTGTAGGAACTCATTGTTCTCTGGGGAACTGGAAAAAACACTGGCCTCCCACCTGCCTGTACTTAAGTCTAGTCACATCTCCTATGATGTCCACTTTGGCTCCATGTAAACCAGTGGCCATTGTATCTCTCTTTAATGCAAATGTGGCCCAACCAGGAAGAATTATGCTACGGGTGGATGGGTAATTACTGTTAGGAATGCAGCTGTAACTGGTAGTGATTGAGAGATCTATCAAATGTCAAATATAGGCTTTTACAAATCGTTTGTTATACCTCACTATAAAATGCTGAAAGTAGTTTTACGGTTATTTTGTGAAGATAATGGGGAGAGTGTGTATGTGTATTTTCAGATTGTACACCTAATCATAATTCCTTTGCTTTTTAATTGCTAGTAAAACACTATTGCTTTCCATTGTAGTTTCTTTCAAGATGGCTTGAAAACGGCTGATAAATTGAAACAATACATTGAAAAGCTGGCTGCTGATTTGTATAATGTAAGTATCTATGTGGTATGTGCATTTCAGTTTGTACAAAATATCAATATTATAGAAATCTGTATTAGAAGGCTGTTAGACTGGGTGCTGGTGGCTCACACCTGAAATCTTAGCTACCTAGTAGATTGAGATCTGAGGATTGAGGTTCAGAGCCATCCTTGGCAGGAAAGTCCATGAGACTCTTATCTCCAACTAACCACTAAAAGTCAGAAGTGGAGCTATGATTCAGAGTGGTAGAGTATCAGCCTTCAGTGAAAAAGCTCAGGCCCTGAGATCAAGCACCAGGACCGGCACCAAAAAAAAAAAAAAAAAGCTGTTAGAAGTAGAAAAGGTTTAGTGATGAGTCAGTATAAATGTAGGGCAGACAAGCTTTCAGTTTAACTCAGGGAGGCCATTCATGTTCAGGTTTTCCAGACTTTCAGTGACTAGAGAGGGAATATAAACCAGGAGTTCTAGATGGTTCTATGTTTAGGCAGCAGCCACACACCTCAGTACCCTTTTGGTCAGCAATTACAATTGGAGAATACTTGATCATGGAAGGATAAAAATTAGTAACTGTCTCTGAATAGGCAGGTTTATGGATTCCTTCAGCTTGCTTTGTATTCTCTTTTTAATATCTAGGTTTTGCTGCCCATATTTTTATTTATCATTTGTTAATCATTCAGAAAGGAGCACTAAAAGAATGTCCAATGTATATAAGGAAATACCTTCAGATAGTGTTTAGACTTGCAAAGAATACATCAGATGGAATATTTTTGATTCAAATATCCAAAATCTAAAATATGAGTTTGAATACTTATGCTATGACACCACAAGTAAAAATTTCTATGCTTGACCTGAGATTGTACTCAGAATGCAGTTGTGTAAAAATGTGGTATAAAATCACATTCAACCCATGTGAATAAGGTATTTATGAAATATAAATAAATGTCATGTTTAGATTTCGGTCCCATCCTCAAGATTACCCATAATCTAAACTCCAAAAAATGCAAATGCTTCTGGTCCAAGCATCTCAGGTAAGGAATGTTCAACCTGAAGTGAGTAGTAATATCTTTCCTCATGTAGTGCATTATAAACTTTTATGTATATGTATTGGCCCATAGGATTTTTAGGTGTTTCTATGATCTTTTTCTGGTGCTCACAAGGTATTCCTGCTCCCATTCTTTGAAAAGCCAGAAACACATGATCTTAATATACTTCTTAACCTTGCTTAAAATAGCAATTTAGAGTTCGTTTTCTGGCCTTATGGGTGTTCTTTAATAAGAAAACACAGTGCACTATTAACTAACTTCAAAACTCACTGGTATGTTCTTAGGGTAACACTAGACAGAGAGTATGAAGACTTTTAAAAGGAAAATCAGCCATGTAATTGAATTATTTGATGAATGGTATATTTGGATAAATTAAACTGCATTCCTAAAAGCATGATAAGTACTAGAAGTAATTTCTTCTTTTATAGATCAAACAGACCCAAGATGAAGAAAAGAAACAGCTAACTGCACTCCGAGACTTAATAAAATCTTCTCTTCAACTTGATCAGAAAGAAGTAGGTGGTTTATATGTTCCCAGCAGGGCTAACAGTGTAAGTGAGGCTACTTGTAATACTCTGTGTTTCCTGATTTGTGAAACAGGCACATTGATAGCTTCCTGTGGGGTGGTTCTACCAGATGAGGTAGAATGGAGAAGTGTGCTGCCCAGGGTAGAAACAGCCTTTAGCTCTCATTCTATATATACATTTTACACATAAACACACATATGTATACATACGTATACATATATACTACTTACAGAAGTTTTGCCTCAGAATTAGGAAAATTGACTTGAGATGGTCCTTGGTACTTGAATATTTGAAACAGGGTTTACAGTATATAGTAGGTGTTAAGAGGATGTAATATAGGTTCTTAATTGTAAATGTTATTTGCTCAAACACTAACTGTTTTTATGTACCAGGCACTAGTGTAGATAGTAAGCTTAAGTCCTTTCCATTGAGGAACTCATTGTGTAGTAGAGTGAACCAGCTGAGTCAACAGTCATGTCTGAGTTGATATGGATGCTCTTAGACATGGTAGCTGCAGCGAGGAGTCCTAAACAACTCAGGTGGAAAACTGCCTGCTATCATCAGCGGCTTCAAACAGGTGAGAGCAGGAAGGGTAGAGGAATAGAAATGGATTTCTTAGGTAGAAACTCAGACCTTATTATGGAAGAGCAGCTGTTGCATTAAGGGGCATGGATTTCCTAATAAGGGTAAATTTGGTAGTAATCACCATTTGTTACATGGAAGAAAATCACATGTGCCTGTTTATGTTATAAAATTATTATGGATTAAATTTGGGTGTTGTACATAAATGTAATCCTTTATCTTGTGAATTCCTTGTGCTATATCAAATCAGTGGTATACTTCCTTTTAATTCTTAAAATTTCTGTAAGGTGCTCATGAGTCCAAACAAAGATAAATCAGTCTTCACCACAATCAGGAACAACAACAACAAAAAAATCCTTTATCAGCAGAACTGGCCTTTACAGCAACCTGGAAGTTGTTTTTCACTATGAACCTAAAGTTCTATATTCTTTTGCTTCTCTTTGTACAGGTCTATGTAGGCTTTAGGATTTGGTCCAGTGAGAAAAATCTGTAGCCTTCTAATACTATGTACCTGCTTACCTTTGGTATAGGCATGGTATCCAGGAAGATCTGTGTGTTGAGGCACCATATTTATACTCAGGCAGGTCCAGGCCTTGGCTACATGTAGGTTTGGAAGCCTCAGTCTGTGTTAGAAAACATTTTAAGTATCACTCTGAAACACAAACATGCTGTATTCCTGAGTCTATTGAGGACATACAAATCCCAGAGCAATAAACATACCTAAGTAGAGAGGAAAAGGGGGTAGATTTACTTACTGGTATGTGCTTGAAGGCTTCCTACCCTTGTTTTGTCACATGGGGTTACCTCATTTCTATATAAATAGATACTTTCTGAGAAAGAAAAGTCCATATTTTTTTTTTTTTGTATAGTGATTGATATATTTTGCTCAGGCTAACTAAAAGAGCAAATAAACCATATAAACCAAAGGAGAATATACATAATGAAATGTATTTGATTTGATTTATTTTAGCTCCATTTCAAATTAATAAATGAGTTAGCACAATGTTAAGGATATTTTGCTACAAAAATTATCTTTTACAACAAGCCTATCATTTCTCATTCTGTGTACCATCCCTTATTGGAAAATGTCTTTAGAAGTTAACAATTTTTAATGACTTAAATGTGAAGGCACTGTCCATCATAGAGTTCTTGCCATAATCTGTTTGAAAAGAGTGTTACCTAAAAGGTTACCTAAGAAATTAAAAGCACTTGGTATAATTTAGCCTAATTAAACCTCCAGGTTCTAACATGGCTATATTACTTTTTTGTAGCCCGAGGCTGGTGGTTCAAGTCTGTAATCCCAGCTACTCAGTAGGCTGAGATCTGAGTATTGAGATACTAAGACAGCCTGGACAGGAAATTCACGAGACTTTTATCTCCAGTTTACCATCAGAAATCCAGAGGTAGAATTGTTACTCAGAGTGGTAGAGTGCCAGCCAGCCTTGAGTAAGAAAAGCTTAGGAACAGCTTAGCTTTGGTTGTAAATAAGAGCCCAGATTTTTTTTGAAGGCTCATTTTTTTCTCTTGTTAAAATTAGATTTTTTATTGTCATGGCAAATGTTGTATAAAATTACTATCTTAGCCTTTTGTATTAGCCTGACCTCCCAAAAAACTATTTATTACACAGCTATTTTTAGGGTTGTAATTATTCTATTCCTACTGGTGATATCTATAAATTGTATTTAGGGTACACAAAATAATTCCAGCAAATTCCAGGTTGTTTGGGTTCTGCCCCTATCCCCTCCTTGTTGAGTTCTGAATGGTCCATCAGTGTGGCGTGAAGGTTGATGGCTTGTGTGTACTGTCCCTCACTTTCCTTTGCAGCATGCAGTACATTGCCTGGTACCCAGACACTATTCCCATGTTTAATAATCCTTTACCTGTCCTTCTGCACCGTAAATATTTGTAACCCCTTTAGTGAGATTAGATTTTAAGCGGGGTGCTAGAAACATTTATAACCCCATTAAACCAGTGAATGTGTAATTGCTTGCACTTTAAAGAAATGTACCATTTTATTCCTTAATAATGCTTTTTGTATGTTAATATGGTTTCAAACAAAAGTGTTATATCTGTACTGCAAATAGACTATAGGAGATGGAATTGAAAATGAATAGGGTAGTTTCATGCAATAGTTTACATTTCATCTCTCCCATTATGAAATTTCCTCAAGCTTTTAAGTTCTTTGTGTATTTATAATGATACATATTTTTGCCTGAATGAGTTTATTGTGTGCATTTCTCTTTCCTGGACCACTGATTGATTTTGATTATGCTGTCGAAGAATTTAGGACCTATTTCATCTTTTCAATTGTGGTTTAAATTATGATTATTGTTAAGAATTCCACAATACCAACTTTCTCAAAAAATGCAGTCCTCTTTTCATTCAATTTTAACCGTCTGTTAAGCAAGCTTAATGATGGCTCTTATTCTCAAAGTATACAAGTACTAATTAATGTGACCTTATTAAGCCATGATACTCATTAATAGTTAATCATTGTTGTTGAATTCTGAAACGTGTTTCTCCCTTTCGGGTCATTTTACTGATGTCAAAGCCTACAACTCAGCTATTGTTTTGCCTGTAAAAGCATATTTATCTGAAATACAGCAAACCCATTTAGACTAAATACTTTTTCTGCAGATTCATTTACACTATTAATCAATGTTAGAAATATATTTAGGCTAAGGTTCATAGAATGGTTTTCACTAGTCATCTGGATCCTTACTTTAAAAATAAAAATAGTTTTAAAGAATTGTGTCCTAGGAAATTTTAGATTTGGTTGATTGATTGGTTCTTGGAAGATAGAGGAAGTCCCTCATGGTTAGTAGTTGTGATTTTCCTGCAGCTTCTTTGAGTTAAAGCAGGAAAATTCCAGGGAGTACATTTATTATCCCTATCCCTACTTTATCCCATGCTTCAGTTCCCTACCTCCTAATCAGTTTTCAGCCCTAACTTTTCTTTCCTTGGATTATGGGCATACTGGTTCCTCCCTCTAGAAAACTTGCTTCCAGCTGTTGTTTCTGAGCACTCAGAGATCGGGGCTACTCTTGCCCTGGTATTTATGCCAGTCCCTCAGTGTCAGGGCTATGTAAAAGGCAAGAAATTACCCATCAGGGAGGACTTAGTAACCTAAGTTACTGTGCAGGTCAGGGCTGTGAGCCCTGTTCAAAAGTAAACATTAGAGCCAGGCACTGGTGGCTCATACCTATAGTCCTAGCTACTCAGGAGGCTGAGAGCTGAAGATCACAGTTCAAAGCCAGCCTGGGCAGGGAGACTCTTATTTCCAATAAACCAGTAGAAAACCAGAAGTAGCGCTGTAGCTCAAGCGGTAGAACGCTCGCCTTGAGCTGAAGAGAACAGGGACAGTGCCAAGCCCAGAGTTCAAGCCCCATGACTAACAAAAAAAAAAAAAAAAAATGAAACATTAGAGTAACTTTGCTAGATACCTAGATATCAATCCATGATCCACCCCTCATCTCCATGTAATTAAAGCTGTCTAGTTAAATGGAAGGAATCTAGCCTATAACGGAGAAAAATTACTAAGATTAAGGAAGTGACTAGAGCGTAGGATATATAGAGGTATAGCCGAAGTAATAGAGCTCTTTCCTAGCATGAGAAAATCCCTGGATTCAGTCCCCAGTAACACAAGAAAATCATTAGGACTCAACTTTGTTGGGAAAATGTATGGTTAGTTCTTGGTTAACTACACAAGTGAACAGGAGAGTGACATGAAGAGAGTGTGAGAGTTAGCATCCACCTCACAGTCCAGGCCATGTCCTGTGCTCAATTCTGACCTTTAGGATGTGGTTAGGGCGTAGTTTTGAACACAGAACTTGTATGACACGTAGAGTAGCGTGCAGAGTTGCACTGTCCTGACAGTTTTCCCTCAGCTACTGTTAACATTAGTTTGCCTCACTGAGGACACAGTTTGATCCAAAGGGATCCTGAATGTCAAAGAGACCATTTTGGTCTTGAAGTTATGCTGTACACAGCCATCAGTAAATAATATGGGTGATTTAGCTTCTTCCCTCAGTACCCTCATGTTTGAAGCATTCTTTATGGTATAAATGAATATAGTTATTAAGTTCTCTTCAGTTGGATAAGCAAAACAAAACAAGAGGACTCCTACAATTTGTGGCTCTTAGTAGATTTTTCCAAGTACTTCATGTTGAGTTTCTCCCAGGTACCGATTCCTGGTACACACACATTTGTCAACCATCTTATCTTTGTAAAATGTGTACCTCATCTTCTTCCTTTCAGTTCAGTTTCTGTTCTCAGTATGGCCTGACACAAACCCTGATGGGCATAAAAATACCTACTGTTGCCATCACCCAGAGATTATCATGATTCTGAAGATATGATGCATTTTCTGGCATATCTTTGTAACAATGTTTGTTGTATACATTATGTAAGTGCTTAGATTATGAATTTTTCAACAAAATTAACGATGTTTTCAAATGTTCTGCCTTTTTTCTCTGTTGCTTTTGCCCTTCCTGATCGAAGTCTAGGAGAGTAAGTTAATGCTTGTTGTAAGAATGCATTGTCCTACCTCTGTGTCTAGAGACTCCTGTTGCCATGCTCCAGTTCAACCCCTGTTCATGTGTGGTGTACGTTTGTATAATATAATGGCTGTTCCTAGTTGTGCAAGAAACTATGAGTAAGCAACAGTGGAGTGCTGATATGAAATGAAGCTTGTTTGCATCTGTGTTGTTGGTCTGGTCCTATCACCACCTCACACACTTCTTGTGCCATGGTGTCATCACTTTAAACTAAGACTTGCTAATAGGTGCATTTTGTAGACCTCTGCAGGTTGAATGGGACGTATCTGAATGCTTAGAACCAAAAGTTTTTAGATTGAAGAAGTTTTCTTACAGATTTTGGATACTTATGTAGGCTTTACCAATTGAGCAACCCTATTTTGTAAAAAAAAAAAAAAAATCTGATTTTTTTGAAATGCTTCAAAAACTTTTTGGACATCTTAACAGAATTCAAAAGATTTCAGGTTTTGTTTTAGGGATGCTCAGTGTATAGATGGTTACATAAGAAAAATTTTATACCAGTTGCTGATACCTCACTCTGAAAGGAGGTTCTCATTTGTTTAGAGTCCACTAGCAGAATTACAAAAGATTAAGGGGGTGTGCCTTAGGGAAAGAGCACTCCATATCCCATGTGACCAGGGACCTGGTCTGCTTCACTCTTCCCATTGCTTCCCCTTTGCCTCTACTGCTACTGTGAACTAGTTTGACTCAGAATTCTCTCAGTGCCTTGTGTGTGCTTGGGCTCAGTTCAAAGCTGACTTGGGTTCTGACCTAGAATGAGCAGTCCTGGACCGCAGGCTCCAGCTCTGCCTTGGACTCAAAGATCCATAAGGCTCAATGGCATAATAGAGCTGAGGATTCAAGAATTGTCTCCTGCTTTTTTGTAACCATGGTTTCTGTTTTCTAGGACTCCCAGAGCCGACAAGGCGGGTACAGTATGCATCAGCTACAGGGCAATAAAGAATATGGCAGTGAAAAGAAGGGATACCTGCTAAAGAAAAGTGATGGGTATGTATAGCCCAGCCCAGCATCCCTGTATGTGTCCTCATACCCACTAGGCGCTCTCCACTGGGAGCTTCTTCCAGTCTCTCAATTAGAAAATGTTTTGGTTTCCAATATCTGAGATTGAGACGAACCTGTCTGAGAAGTGACTAATTATTTGCTGAGTTGCAGGAGATGTGAGAAACCTTTGATAAGTGCCCTGCATTGGATGATGCTTAAGGACGCCTATGGGTTTTCCCATAGTGTAGGTAGAAATTTAACACAATAAACTAATATATATTAAAGAAGAAAATGTTTTTATGTGCTAAGTCTGAGATTTTTACCTATTGTCTCTTAAAAAAAAAAAAGCAGTAATTGATCTACAGCCCCTGCATGACACTTCTGACATAGTACCTGCTCATTTAGGAAAGCATCAAGTAGGAAACCCACCTCTGCATTTATTCATAGCAGCATTTTCTACCTGGGATACCATCTAGATGCCCAAATCCCCTAACCCTCTCATTTACAGCATAGATAATCTGACAGGGACCCTTCTTTTTCTGATTCTAAAAGTAATACACTTCCTGCTATCACTGCTTTGGCTCCAGGGATGCTCCACTGTCATCTCTCCTGCTCAGCCTCCTTAGTTGGTCTCTTGTCACTCACTCCTCTTCTCTGTAGCTCACTTCTACATAGTACTCAGCTATCTTGTCAAAAATATAAAGCACATGGTATCATTCCCATACTGAAAATGCCTGGTGGCTTTCCTTTGCACATGGTACCTTCTTCCACTTTCTGTTGAGCCTCATCTTGTACCTTTCTTCTCTTGGCCCTGCTGTACTGGCCTCTTTTTGTTGTTTAAACAAATGATTCTACTTCCCAGTAAGTACATATGCAGAGCCCTGATTGTTTCTGCTACCAAGTGTCATCTTTTTAAAAAGAAAGTTCATTGAGCCAGGCACAGGTGTCTCACCCCTAGCCACTCAGTAGGCTGGGATCTGAAGATAGTGGTTCATAGCCAATCTGGAGGAAAGACCATGAAACTCTTATCTCCAATTAAGTATCAAAACAGCCAGAAGTACAACTGTAGGTCAACTGGTAGAAAAAGCTCAGGGACAGCACCCAGACTCTGAGTTTAGGCCCCAGAACCAACACATAGAAAAAGAAAGCTCCTTGCTTTTCTGACAGATTGTAGCTATGCAACATTGTTCTCATTTAAAATGCTTATATTTTTTGTTTAAATCTGTTGAAATTGCAAGTATTAATCTTAAAAATGCACCCCACCCGTCATTCTTTATATGCATTCAACAAGTATTTGCAAATCCTCTTATGTCTAAAACTTACTCTTCAAGGCACTGGGAATATAGTGTGAGCAAAAGAAAGGTCTCATTCTTATAGCACTTACATTCAAGAGAGGAAGCAAAAAAAATGGTCATTGGATGGAATAAAGATCAATGAGTGCTGTAGAAGAAGGACAGAGCCAGGAAGAGATGCTGGAAGTGAATATTAGGGCTGGAACTGGTACTTGATGTGACTTTGGCAATCACAGAAGACTCCTGAGGTGACAGGAAATGGGGAATGACCTGTACAGTCATGGGAGGGGAGGAGCTGCCAGGAACATGCTTTCCATTATGATAGACACCTAGGAGTTGAGCATCCCCAGCAGACTGGCCCGGAGGTGAGGGAGTGGGGGGCGGCTCCAAGATAAGAGGTTTGAGAAGACAGGGAGAGAAATCATGGAGGCTGGAGGAGGGGGGGGAGGGTAAGAGTGTCAATGGATGCTCCCAAATAAGATGAGAAGTTACTGGTGATTTGGAGCAAGATATGGTATGATTGGATACATTTTCAAAGGTTGTCTCTGGTTCTAGACTAAGAGCAGAAGCAGAGAGACCAGTTAGGAGGCTGCTGCCTATCTCCAGTGGGAACTGCTGGTGGGGCTGGGGAAACTAGGGTAGAGGTATTAAAAACAGTCAAATTCTGAGTAATGAAGGCAGGGTTAGAATGCTCAGATACTGAGTGCAAAGGAAGTAAACTCATCCTTGGTATATTACACAATGCCTGGCTGGCTTCATCAAGATCACATAGACAAAGGTATGAGATCCCCAATTTGTACCTTGGCCTCCTGATATAATACCAGCTATGTCATCCCTCAATATTTTCAAGGGACCACTGCTGCTGATCACCTTTGGCATGTGCTAGACAAAATTAGCATAAACTCACCCCTTGACTCCTTTGTTTAGTCTGTTCTTCCTTTGTGCTCTCATTTTATGCATATACAATCCAGTATCTCAGATATCTTGTGGATGCTAGAAGTAAAAAGTAAATGGGATGTGGCCTTAACTCTCACCCTTTCTACAGTCTGTTGGCAAGAGGTGGGGGGGAGGGGAAGGGGAGAGAGAAATGTGTCTTAGAAAAGAGGCAGTCCAGTATTGATAGGCCAGAGTTATTTGTGATGGCTTTTATAAAAGACGAAAAGATTGAAATGCCAGCATATAACAGACCAGTTAGTTGTTGCTAACCATAACTGTTCTGTGAGTCTCTCCTAAGGATTATTTGCATCGGTAATTTCTGACCCAAATTGTTGCACTATTTTTTTTTATTTTTTTGCCCGGCGGGGGGGGGGGGGGGGGGGGGCGGGGGGCGGGGAGCGGTGAGTGATAGGGCTTGAACTCTGGGCCTAAGTGCTGTCCCTCAGCTCTTCAGCTCAAGGCTAGCTCTCTACCACTTGAGTCACAGTGTCACTTCCAGTTTTCTGAATGGTTTATTGGAGATAAGAGTCTCATGGACTTTCCTGCCCCCACTGGCTTTGAACCATGATCCTCAGATCTCAGCTTTCTGAGTAGCTAGAATGACAGGTGTGAGGCTCCAGTGCCAGGAGTAACTATAATACTTTGTGCCTCAAAAGCATTTATTCAGAGGCCAGAAAGACACAATTGCTTTGCACATATTTTTCTTAAAATAATCTCAGAAAATGAGTTTTATGTTGTCAGGGTAAAAATAAGGAAGTGAGCCCTAAAGTTACATAGCTTTGTTGGGATTGGGACTGTGGCAGATGACTGATGAGACTAAAGCTAAAATGATCTAGTATCAAAGTTGATACTCACTCAGGAATACAAGCCATTTTTTTGGGAGCTTTTGGTTTATTTTGTTTTGACTATACTGGGATTTGAACTCTTATGCTTGCTGTACAAGTGCTCTACCACTGGAACCAAGTCCAATGTTTTGTACTTTTTTTAGTTGCTGTTCATATAGAGCCATACTTTTACCCAAACTAACCTGAGACTACAATCCTCTTACCTCCACCTCCCTTAAATTTGGGATTATAGGTGTGACACTATTCCTGGCTTCGTACAAGCCCACTTTCTAATAATAATAACCCCTCAAAGTGTTTACAAAGATGAGATGCTGCTGCTCTTGACTGTGCAGGGGGTGTTGTTATCCACCTTCCTCTAGGGATCTGAAAGCATCTTGTTAGCTATCTCTTAGCAGAAAGATGTGTGCTTTTGTGTTACTCTCCCTCGACTTCATAAGCTGTGAAAGCACATATGGTTATTTTGTTTTCTTAATACTTAAGAAAGAAAAACTAACAAGTGACGTTTAAGTAAAATAAGCTAAATTAGGCTGGTTGTTGAATACTGTAAAATATGTCATTAGAGGAAAGCCATGGTTTTGGCTTAGTGTGTACAGAGAATAAATACCTGACCTGACAGGCTTTTGAGAGGACAAAATGAGATGCTAACCACTTGCACAGAGCTGATTACTTCAACCATGTATAGGTATGCTTGTTTGGCAGCTATTACATCTAATCAAACTTGTCCCTAATCAGCACTTGCAAAAGAAAGTGATTTAACAGTAATTTGAGGACATATTCTCAATTAATAGTTGCAAATTGCCTCCTGAGGAAACTGGCATTTTGAGCAGTGTGGAGTTTACATCTGGTCAGATGGTGTCAGATTCTCCCTCTGTGAAGCACATTTTGGAACAAACTATGCTTCTAGTAGTTACATATGTAGGAAGATTTGTTCAGTGCTGGTTTTAAATTTGAGTTGTGATCATTTTCTCACAGGATGAATTTAAGAAGGAAAAGAAACACAAGACACTATTTTAAAGGCCTGGGAGAACTACTGTGGTCTCCTTTGATGTCATTTGTTTCCATGGCAACAGAAAGCCTGCTGCCTTCTCCTAGCCCGGGAAGTCTGTGTTCCCTGTTCCTTTACACCTACCTGATGGCAGTAGTCCCAAATGGTACAGCTGTACCTGCCTGTATGTGTGCAGATCTGCCCTGCACTCACAATCTCTTGCTTGTACCTGGGGCTTTCAAAAAAAAAAAAAGGCCTTCTGGCTTTTTCTGTCCTTCAGCATCTTTGGATCAAATTTGTCACAATCACTTGTCAAGAGTTTGGGCACCATTTATTTTTTGATAACAATAAACGTAGTTCTTTTTCTAGCAACTCTGAGGAATCGTTTTGTTTCTGAAAGACCTAAAAGAAGGTATACAAGCCACTAAAATCAGTTTCCTAAGGCATTGTCACTTGCTTGGCAGGCATCTTAATGGGGTTTGTGGGGAGGGGGGGCTTGAACTCAAGGCCAGGGCACTCTCTTAGCTTTTTTACTCAAGGATGGCACTCTTATCACTTGAGCCACAGCTCCACTTCAAGTTTTTTGGTGGTTAATTGGAAGTAAGAGTCTTACAGGATTTTCTATCAGGGCTGGCTTCAAACAGAGATCCTCAGATCTCAGCCTTCTAAGTAGCTAGGTTTACAGGTGTGAGCCACTGGCACCCAGCAGTGTTTTAAAATCTATTGTAAATTGCAGTAGCAGTAGTAGTCAGTTAACAGAGCCTTCTTGTAACTGATTTTCAGATATTGGTAAAATTCATTATTAGCATTACCATTGGTACAGGCCTGGCTCTTTCCCAGAGTGGACTTTAATCTTTGTCATGTATGTATTCTCCTGCCGTTAAATTGCTGTTGTTCCTATTTCACATTTTCACTATGCAAAACAGTGTTATGCTGACCAGCTTTTTACAGGCCTACTCTCTGATCTGCCATTCATCTGGAATAATAAGAAGCAACAAGAATTTTCTTTTTGCTGTGGTTTATTGAAGAGGGTTGGGTTTTTTTTTATTTTGGGGAGTCATCCTTTTTTGTGATTAGTATCTCGAGCCATACTATAAGATTGCATTTCCCAGACTGAATCAGACACTACATTTAGTTGTTTGGCTTGCTCCCTAGGATCCGAAAGGTGTGGCAGAGAAGGAAGTGTGCCGTGAAGAATGGGATTCTGACCATTTCACACGCCACGGTAAGTGTCTGATTTCCCTGCATATAAATCAGGTGATGTCGCCAGCACTGAGTTTCTACCTAAATTTCCTTAATATATGGATTTGGTCAGGTGGGTTGTTTCAGACATTCTTTTATGAAGCATTAGCTTTACCTTGTCTGATGGTAGTCTGCATTGGCCTGCATTGTCCTACATTTCTACCAGAAATGTTTGGGTTTTGCTGCCTTGAACTGAATTAGGTGTTGTTTGATTTTATAATCTTCTGGGAAATGTTATTAGTGATTGTGCTAGGGGGAAAAATCCTAGTTCTCTGAATTATAAAGATGGTGAAGTTTCTTTGCATGAGAAGTTAATGTAGGAAACAAAATACTCATAAAAAATTTAGTCATGCTGTTAATCAAAATACAATAAAACAAAACAGATCTTGTATTTTTTTTTTTTTTTTGTCACTCATGTGGCTTGAACTCAGGACCTGGGCGCTGCGCTGTCCCTGAGCTCTTGCTCAAAGCTAGCTCTCTACCACTTTCAGCCAAGTACCACTTCCAGCTTTTGAGTGGTTAATTGGAGATAAGAGTCTCACAGGGACTTTTCTGCCTAGGCTGGCTTTGAACCACATTCCTCAGATCTCAGCCTCCTGAGTAGCTAGGATTACAAGCATGAACTACCAACACTTAGCTTATCTTGTACTTTTTAAACTAGCAAAAATCAGAGATAAAATAGTCATAAAAGAGCTGGCCATGCTGCTGGCTTACCCTTGTAATCCTAGCTACTCAGGAGACTAAAATTTGAGGATCACAGGTTCAAAGCCAGCTCAAGCAAAAAAGTCCTTAAGACTCTGATCTCCAACAATCTACTTAGAAAAAGCAGGAAGTGGTACTATGGCTCCAGTGTTGGAGTGCTAACTTTGAGAAGCTTAGGGGCAGCACCTAGGCCCTGAATGTAAGCCCCAGGCTGGCTAAAAGAAAAAGTCATAAGGGAATAGAGAAGACAAAGTATATGCCAAAAGGTCTTTAAAAATATGTGTGTTATCCAAGCTTGATGTCAGCTGGGAGAAACTCATTGCTAATGGCAGTATCTTGTGCCAGTACCATTCTTTTTTTTTTTTTTTTATTGTGAAGCCAGTACTATTCTTGAGGTTTGGCACAGCACAGAGGCATTCAATATATACACTGCCTGAGCTCTCCCTGGTAGATGATTGTGTGCATAAGTTCACTGTCCTTTATAAGGAACTTGAGCAGTTGGGTCTCCTCTGCCCTTTGCCCCTTGCAGACCCCTAGACCCCTTAGGAATTCTCAGAGGCTTTGAATCTCCCATAGTTGGTCCAGCTGTGACCAGCTACCTATCTATTATCAGAAATCTTTCTGACAGACTTGGTCCACTTATCGTTAAGTTTAACAATTATCTTTTTTTCTTTTTTTTTCTGGCGGGAGAGGAGGAAAGATAAGATGGGAGGTTTGTAGTCAAGGTTTCACACTTGCTATGCAGATATTCTACCACAGGCCTATTTGTGACAGTTATTTTTCAAATAGTGTCCAGTTTTTTCCAGAGCAAGCTTCTGACTAGTTTTCTTGTCTATATACCTCCCACTGAGCTAGCATCATGGATGGGTACTGTGAAACAAGCTTTATTCATTGAGTGAAGTCTTGCTGTAATTCCAAGTACCTAAAATTACAGGTATGAGCCACAATATCTAGCTAATTATTTATTCAGCATTCATTTATTAAGCTGGCCTGAGCATCAAAGATAGACTTGGAGCTGGGTGCCCGTGGCTCACACCTGTAATTCTAGTAGTTTGGGAGGCTGAGAATGAGAGGATAACAATTCAAGAGCAACTCAGGCAAAATGTTTGTAAGATCTCCTCCCTCCCTATAGTTAGGCCCAGTGGTGTATGCTTGTCATCCTAACTTCATGGGGGACTGAGAATGAGAAACTTACAGGTACATGACAAGTGGGGGGATAAAATCTTCAAGACTCTAGATGAAAGAAGCAGGGTGTGCCCCTGTTGTCCCAGCTGTGGTTAGAAGTATAAAATAGGGGGGTGACGGTACAGGTGCATATTGATGCAAAAAGCAACACCTGTCTCAAAAATAACCTACTGCATATTGAAAATGAGCTAGACAACTTGTGGGTGGGGATGGGATGGAAATCTTGGAGAGAGCAAGGGAAGGGGTAACATTGTCCAAAAAGAAACATACTCTTTACCTGACTTACGTATCTATAACCCCTCTGTACATCACCTTTGTAATCAGAATTTTAATTTTTTTTAAATGAAGGAAAGAGCTAGAGGTATGCTCCAGTAGTCAAGCACTCATTTAGTATAAAAACAAGGCCCAAAGTTCAAACCCAAGAACCGCCAAAGATAAAGTAAAAGATTCTTGAATGGAAAGGTAGGTAAACTCAAAACACTTTTTCTGTGTGCGTGTGTCAGTCGTAGGGCTTGAACTCTGGGCCTGGGCACTGTTCCTGAGCTCTTCAGCTCAAGACAAGCACTCTACCACATGAGCCACAGCGCCACTTCCAGTTTTCTGGTGGTTAATTGGAGATGAGTCTCACTGACTTTCCTGCCTGGGCTGGCTTTGAACTGTAATCTTCAAATCTCAGCCTCCTGAGTAGCTAGGATTACAGGCCTGAGCCACCAGCACCTAGCTAAACTCAACACTTTTGACATCCTCAAGTTTAATTCCACATAAAATTTTATGTGTATACAAGAGTGGAAATTTCTGCCTTTTCTACTTAATTTTGTTTGTAAGTTTCCAAACAAAGATTTACTTTCTGTACCCTGACTTTTTTTTACCTTCTACTAGAGAACTCTTCCTGTGAATTTGTCTGGCTATGATCATTGCAGAAAGCATTCTGACAGGCCATACAATGTCCTTATCATGCTCTTGACTGTTTGCTGTGGGTGGCACTGCAGTAGAATGGGATGTGGAATAGATGAAGGTACCTCAGCACTACTTCCTGACATGACCTTGAGCAATTTGCTGAAAATAAAAAATAAACTTCTCTTCCCCATCCTTTTTTATCTTTTCTGCCAAAAGACATTATTCTGGTTAAGCCAACTGTTTATGTGTATTTTCTCTAATTAACAACAAATATCATATTGGCCACATTGTTTGATGGATAAGGAAATAGACAGTGGCATCTGTCAGATTTGAATCTGAATCCCAGCTTTGGTATTTACAATGTGACCTTGAGAAAAGTGTTTAACTCAGAGATTGGGGATTAAGTAAGATAGCATGCCATGTTGTGGGCACAGTTAGGAGTTGAGGGTTCATTGATGTCACTGCCATTGCTGAAATCTACTGACTAGCAGTCCCTCCTGCTGCTAACAGTGGGAGACAATGTGTTCCTCCCTAATTCTGATTCTCTCCCACCGAGGTATGTTATTTTCCTTGCTTTTCACTGGCTTGAAGCCAGACTTTTTGCTGCCAGCTCCATCACTTGTAATCACATTACTACCCCCACAGAAAGATCTCCATAGGCAGTTTTAGTTGCTTTTCTTGACTTTGTAAACACCATGGGCTACGTAGGATGATTAGAAATGAAGGCCGTTGGTTTCCTGGGAAAGCATAAAGAGATTCTGTGATTTTTTTTGAACAGTAAGCCTTTGGTACCAGAAAATTTGGGGCCTTCTTTAGGCTCAGCATCTACACATTCCTCTGGCTTAACCCCCAGCAGTGTCATCTTTGTTATTCTTACTAGCATGGTTCAGGATGGAATCAGGGCTGCATTCATTCAGGGGTAGCAATGTCTGCTCCACAAAATCATTTGGTATGTGCCAGGACAGACACATATGCGTCTCATAGGCTCTGCTTGGCCTGTCTGCTTCTACTGACAATTTTGTATGGCCCTGGAATAATGTTATAATATCCAAGTGCCCTTGGCAAAAAAGATTCCTCATCCCTGATCAATGAAAGATTCAGTGACTTTTTGCCTTGACCACCTAGGGAGGATCTACTCTACCTCCCCCAGCATGCTGTTCTAGAGACCAAACAACAACAACAACAACAAAAAAAACAATACTACACAATGCTCTACCACTGATCCATTGGATTATACCCCAGCTCGATCCAATGCAGTTAAACTGTGTAAGATCATTTCATTTTAGAATTCATTAAAAAAAAAAAAGTTTGTATCAGGTCACTAAGTCATTTTAAGTAGATTTCTATGCCTGTGGGTTTCACTGTATAAGATGTTTCCAAGGGTAAAGCCTGGACTGGATTCCAGGCAGGAGGCATATGCACACTGCTGCTTGTAGTTGGAGTAACATGACTTGGGCATCCTTTCGTGTGTGCCTTCTTCAGCACATCTGTGGTACTTCAGCACTTTCTGTGGTATTAAAACCAGGTACTGTGGTCTCTCAGCTGGCTTTTTTGGCTCTTGTGAATAATACAAATTGTTCAAATTGGTGTCTTTCAAGGGCAATATCTTACTCATCTGCCAACTGGCTTTCAGTTTCTCTACCTCTAGAGATACTTTGCTTTTCTTCTTTAAAAAAATCCAAAAGCATTTCAGTATAAGTTAATATAAAATATTTCATTCTTAGTAATCTTAAAAGTTTAATTTCTGAAGTATAGTACCTGTACTCCTCAAAGTCTCTTACTTCCTGAATGTATTAATCTTAATGTCATATACTATTTAAATAATGGGTTAAAACAAGAAATAGATCCACTTCTATAACCCAGCCTAGAGAGGCAGAGGCAGGAAAACTAAGAGTTTGAGAACAGCCCAGGCTATACAGCAAGACTGTCTTGACAACCAATGAAGAAATAGAAATACCACTTAACTGACACTTAGTTTGTGCTTTGCATTTAATCTGACAGCAATACAGGATAAGTAACGCTGTCTTCATTTCTCATTAAGCTGGGAGTAGAGACCCTGTCTAGCTCATCTTTGAATTTTAATCCTCCCTCCCTCCCTCTCTGCCTTCCTGCCTTCCTGCCTTCTTTTGTCTGCCTGTGTAGCCCAGGCTAACCCTCCATCCTATCCCGGCTTGTTACAAGCTTGTTCTACCTCATAGA